TTACCTTTGTTGTTGTAGTTAGGTGCTATGGAATTGATTTTTGACTTACAGTGATCCCATGTGACAAAGTAGAACTACTCCATATAGTTTCTTTGGCTGTAATTTTTATGAAAGAAGATCCTCAAGTCTTTCTCCTGGGGAGCCATAGAGTGGGTTTTAATCGCCAACTGTTTTATTAGCAACTGAGTGCTTAATTGTTGTGACACACACACACACACACAAACAAACAAACCAGGGCTCTTTATATTTACTTTAGATACAGAAATTCCACTTCTAAGTATATACCTCAGAGACCTGAAAACTCTTCCACACAAAGACCTGCACATGGATATTCATAGCAGCTTTATTCACACTACCTCCAATTTGGAAACAGTCTAAATGTCCATCAGCAGATGAACGGATAAACAAACTGATATATCCATATAACATATCCATATCCATATTATATTGTAATAGAATTTGCTCAGCAACAAAGAGGTCCATAGATTGCCAACACATGGTCTACTAGATAATAATGACAAGTAACCAGGCATCTAGTGTACAGTGTAAGAAATCCTGTGTTTAGGGAAAAATGTAAAGGGTTCAACAGTGCTTCCCAGAGGAAATAATGCCTGAAAGTCAATGATCTAACCCTCCATTACAACAAATTAATTTTAAAAATAAAAGGCAAGAAATAGGAAAACTAAGAACTGAAATTTACTGATTTTTCCACTTTGTCTGAGATTAAGATCCTCAATCATTAATGTAAGTTCATCTGTTTTCTTCCAACTCTTATTCCTTCTGTTCTGTGAACTTTACTGCTATTATTTGGTGCATAACCCATTGCTTTAGAGTTGATTCTAATTCATATTGACCCTGTAGGACAGAGTAGAACTGCTCCGTAGGATTTCTTACAGAAGCAGATTACTACATCTTTCTCCCACGGAGGAGCTGGTCAGTTCAAACCACTGAACTTTCAGTTAGCAGCCAAGTGCTTAACCACTGCACCAAAAAGAAACCAAACTCACTGCTGTTGAGTAGGATCTGACTCATAGCGACCCCTCCTTGGGTTTCCAAGGCAGTATCATTACGGAAGTAGATTGCCCAACCTTCCTTCTGAGGAGTGACGGGTGGGTTTGAACTGCCAGCCTTCTGGTTAGCAGTCAAATGCCTTAGGCACTACACTACCAGAGCTCCCTACTTGGCACATAGATAGGTATTAATAACTGTTCTATTTTCATTGTAATTTGTGAGTTATTAATTACATTATAATTTTTCATTATATTGTCCCCCTTTTTCATCTTTTTGGTTTGGCTATCTGCAATCAAAAATTGTATTGTGCATTTACATAATATACCTTTCTGCCCTTTCTTTTCTTTGCTTTAAGTTATATTTAATATATACATTAAAAACTCAGTATTTATGTGATTTGTTTTATCTTCTCCCTTTCTTATTTTTTTGTATTTCTCTTGGTATTTAGGAAGATTTCCCTTTTGCCTAGTGTTTATCTTTAATATAATGCCTTTATATATGCAGTAGTTCTCACTTTCTTTAGATGCTATCTATTGTTTTCCCATTATGAGCAATACTGAAATTATCTAGTAACTACTTCTTTCTTTCTCTCTCCCTTTCCCTCCTTGATCCAGTTTTAGACACTACTATGTGCTTAGTATTAAAGTTTTGGGATTTTTACCCCTGGTTAAATGTCAACTACTTGGTTTATAAACTTCAACTGATAATTCTTTTATTCTCAGACAATGCCTACGAGTCAGTTAGTGAGTTTATTCTTTTTTCCCACCTACTCTCCTCCTTCAACTTGTTTCCTGGTACTTGTATTATTTCCACATAACATTTACAAACTATTTTGTCTCTCTGATCAGCCTTAGTTCTCAGTTAAGTATATACATTATACTAAATCTTTTTCAAATAGTTTTATGGCCTGAGCCTAGCTCATCTTTCAGGCAAGATTCTTAACTATATCTGTAACCCTTATACTTTAAAGAACTAAAGAAATCAGAAGTCATACCCTGTACTAACTTTCATTACTAATTCAAAGGATAGAGGCCACGTGGGTGAAACATGGCATAGTCTGGGACATCGTGTGCACAAAAGGAGCCATTTTAGTTGTCAAACATTTCCTTTTTTTATCTTATTAATTATATAGTTTACAATGTATTTTCCCATGAACTTACCCCGTAAATCCATAAACCCTAGGTTTATATACAATAAGCAACCTGGACAGACTAGATACATCCTACTGATAGCATTCCATAGATAAGGACTCTCCTTCTAATTAATATTAGTATATTAGCTAGGAGGTCTATAAGGTCTGTCATTAGCATATTTATAAGGAGTTCTATCTGGGTCTTTTCTTTCTCAGCCATCTCTCTCTCTTTTTTTTTTTTTTTTAATTTCTGTGACATCCCTTATAAAGGCAGAAAATGGATTATGTCTATCTTTTTCAAATCTAAATTCCCCTTAAAGTTCCCTTTAAACAAGTCTCTCCTTTTATGGTACTCCCTTTGTACAGCAGTATTTCTGTCTTCCCTGGAGCAAATGGTTAAGTATGCAACTGAAAGTTTGGAGAGTCAAATGCACATAGAGTTGCCTCAAAAGACAGGCCTGTGATCTGCAACAGAAAGGTCGCAGCCTTGAAAATCCTATGAAGCAATTCTATTCTGCATGCATAGGGTTGCCACGAGCCAGAATTGACATGATGGCAGCTAACAACAATTCTGCTGTTCTGTAAGTGAGGGCTAGATGGACAGTGTACCTAGGCAGGTTGCATACCATGAAAGATTAGGAAAGACTTGGGCACAAGACTGTACAGTCTCTTAGTTGTAGTTGCCATGGGTGCAGTTAGAAAGCAAACTCCAAAGTCCTATCCTTGAGAGGAAAGCTGATGGACATAATCAAAACTATAATCTTCAAACTGGATTAAAAATTCCAATGGATAATTGCACAGAAGGAAAACCAGTACTGGAGTAGAGGAGCTGGAAAATAAGGTGAAATGCAGATTTCCAGACCAATACTTCATTAGGTGAGAGAAGGTTGGATCTATAGCAGGCCATAGGAAGCCCTGTCTGGTACAGTTGGTGGAAGACATTGCTGGTTACTCTTCCTCACTCAGGACCATGGAACGTGTTCTTCAGCATTCAATGTTACTGAATGTACATGCACTGCAGACTACTGGGCCACAGAAGGAGAAGACCCATTGTTCTGATTACCTAGTGCCACTCTGACAGAAATATAACAAATGAGATACTTGAACAAACAGGGTTTATTCTCTTACTGTTCAGAGGCTTTAAGTCCAAGTTCAAAGCACCAGGCTCTAGGGACTGTGTGAAAGTCCTTTGACCTTGGGCTTCAGCTCTGCCTCTTGCTCCTGGCCCACTGAAGCTACAGGCATCTCTTCACTCAGGCACCTACTGGCTGCTGAGGCTGACAAGCCCAAGGTCAACAAATAAAATGACACAGTCCCAATGTTACCAAGCCACACGGCAGGCCATTAATTCAAGTCCACTGAAAGTCCCAAGGTCGGCAGAGCATGGCAGGCTGCTGAACAACAACATGGCTACATGCAGGATCTAAGCATGCCATCAGCTAGAGCCATTCCCCAAGTCTTCTCTTTATATACGGGAAGCAGACCACATCCCTAAGGCAGGTACTCAGCTGCTCACAGTAGATTGCACCATGGAGTTGATTACCAGTCTCATCATGGGGAATACTACATCCAGCTGCCCAGCCACTGACCCAAGCCCAGCCAAGTCGACACACAAACTGCACTACCACACCCACCACCAGGAAGGACCAGAAATGGGACTTGATCCACTCCCCTACAAGCCTGGAGCTTCTTTACAAATTATATATTACAAAAAAACAGAAGAATATGGCAGAACCATGTATAAATTTCTCAGTATATAATGGTGGCAGAGATTTGAGGTAATCTTTCCCAAGTCCAGATGCAAGTCCATCTCTGAGATGCTTGCAGGGAGTTAATGTGGGCAACCACAGGCAGCCTGGGAACTTGCAGTAAGATGGCTGTTATCTACTGACCTTGATGTCATTATTTTAGGACAGGTCCAGGAGGATTTGATTAGTTTATGAGTCCTAAATTCTCCTTTACTTTCCTTAGGATATACCATAAGCCCTAGAGAATTGCTTAAAGTCAAAGCAAGGTTAGCAAGTCCAACACAACGTTGCCAATCCAAGAAGATAAGAATCAAGAACAAGGTAGAGGAGTGTTGAGAATTCAGAAAAACTAAAGAGAAGTACTATGGAGGGTGGTTGGGAGCACTGCTAGATACAAAATGAGGCCACCTCTGACATATTTTTAGGGCATTACCATGCAGATTCTGTAGGTGAATCATAATTAATTGAAAAAGAATGTATCTTCTCTGAGCGAGTCTTCCAGATTTTTTCTTACAGCTAACATCAATCACCCTTGAGTTCCTAAACTGCCCTTATATTTATAAGGTTTCTTAAGATTGATGAGGGATGAATGCCTCAGTATGCTGGATACCAGTATTGCCTTTAAGGATCATGTTTACTATAATAAATGATCTGAGATAGCTTTCCATTACTTAGATATTCATTCATGGTGACTGATCCAATGTATCTAATTTCCTGATGGCATATCATCTTTGATCTTGCTGTCTCTCTTATTTTCTACTGTATAGATAAGTTTCCCTTTTCCTTAAATAATTACATTGTGATATATATAGTAACGACAGCGTATGTTGTTGTTGTTGTTGTTATGTGCCGTCGAGTCAAACCTGACTCATAGCGACCCCTCCTTGGGTTTCCGAGGCAGTATCACTACGGAAGTAGGATTGCCCAACCTTCCTTCCGGGGAGTGGCTGGTGGGTTTGAACCGCCAGCCGTCTGGTTAGCAGGCAAGTGTCTTATCCACTATGCTACAGCGTATATATATATTATATTAAAATACTTATTTCCAATACAAACACTTTCTGGGAGGTGAGCTCAAAGGCAGCAACCAAGTAAAACATTTCTTTTTCTAGGAGTCACAGGAGAAAGCATTCCAGAACTGGCATCAAATGGTTCAAAGAAGGAATGAATTCCCTTCACCTCCCACATTTATACTCAGAGTCAGACGGAGGCACGCGGTTGAAGATGCTCTGCGTCAAATAAGCCAAGCTGAAATCACTGACCTACGTAAAGCTTTGACGGTACTGTGAAAAGTCTCCTTGGACATTTCCATGATGTGGGGTGTGGGGAGGTGGGTGAAATATTTATGTAATGGAGCAAAAGCCCTCTTATAAAAGCCTGCATTTGCAACTATGGTTACCAGTCTTACGGTTTCCAGAATTCCCCTCTTATCCTTCAGAGAACAGGTATGGGATATTTAATTACACATTAGGTTATGAGTTAACTATTATTTACCTATGGCTATAAAAATGCTGCATAATGACTCATTTCAAAGCTTAAGATGTTGTTGTTGTTGTTGTTATGTGCTGTCGAGTCGGACGGGATTCATAGCGACCCCTCCTTGGGTTTCCGAGGCAGTATCACTACGGAAGTAGATTGCCCAACCTTCCTTCTGAGGAGTGGCTGATGGGTTTGAACTGCCAGCCTTCTGGTTAGCAGTCAAGTACCAAAGCTTAAGATAGCAATCATTTATTTCACAGGTGTGCAATTTAGCTGAAGTTCTGCTGATCTGGAGTGAACTGGTCTGGGTTATTTTACAAATCTTAACTAAGTCACTTACTTACATGTCTGGGAGATTTTAAATCTGAACCTGGAAGTGTGTTCCCTTTCCTCAGGTTGAATTTATTAAAGAAATTGTTTCTGTGGGTGAAGGAGTCAAGTCAGAATTCTTCCACTGTGTATTTGAAGAGATGACCAAACCTGAATATGGAATGTTCATATATCCTGAAGATAATTCCTACATGTGGTTTCCTGTCAAAGTAAGATTTTTTTTTCTTTTTTAACTTTTTTCCCCCAGAAGAGAAAAAACACACTATTCAAACTATTGAAAATACTATAGCATTAGGCCATCTAGAATCTTGCTGGTCAAAATATAGTTCACAGACAAGCGATGACAGCATCACTTGGGAGGTGTCAGAACTATAGAATCTCAGGCTCCACCTCAGATGCTATGACTCAGACTTACACTTTAATAATGTCCCCAGGTGATTCAGATGCACATTAAATTTCTTAAACAACTTTACTGAACTATAATTGACATATAACAAACTACCTATATTTAAAATATCCAATTTCATAAGTTTTGATGTACTTATACCATGAAATTATCACTGGATAATGAATATATCCATTACCCCCTAAATTTTCCTCCTGTCTCTTTCTAATCCCTCCCTCCTGGCCCTTCCCCCATTCCCCATATTCAGGTAACCACTGATCTGCTTTCTGTCATGAGGGCCTAGTTTGCATTTCCTAAAATCTTATATAATGGACTCCTAATATTGTCTTTTGTATCTCTCTTCTTTTGCTCAGCATAATTATTTTGACATTCATCCATGTTATGGCATATATCCATAGTTCATTTCTTTTTATTGCTGAGTAGAATACTATTGTATAGCTCGGGCAACGTTTAGTTAGAGTTATCTTGAGGTGAATGAAGCCTACTCCATGTCAATTAACAATAACATAATATTGTATGCATATATCACAATTTGTTTACCCAGTCTCCTATTGATGAATATTTTTGTTGTTTCTAAAATTTTGAGAAGCACTAGAGTGTTTCACTTTGGGAGAGAAATTCTTGATTGAATCCTAGATATAATCATCAATTATAATGAAGTGATTAATTTCTTTAGCAATTTTTCAATGCAGATTCCCCAGATGCAAACACTTTCTTTCTTAAAGTAGTAAAAGACTTGTCATCATATCTCTATTAGTAACATGCAACAAACAGTTCTAGAAAGAATGACATGGTGAGTTCCTATTTATTGACCCTTTTACCCATAAACTTCCAAATGCTATTCCAAATGACATGGTGAAGGTTTAGAAATCAGAAAAGACAAAGAAGAGGAGATGTATCAGTGTGGAAAAAAAAAAAAAAAGTTCTGAAAGGTTCTTTGTATCACTTTGAGAAAGAATGAACCCGTTTCTTAGTGCTGCTATATCAGAAATACTACAAATGGTGGCTGTAAGAAACAAAGAAAAATATTTTCTCACAGTTTAGGAGGCTAGAAGTGTGAGCTGAGGGTGCTTGTTTCAGGGGAAGGCTTTTTCTGTCCACTCTGGGGTGAAAATCCTTGTCTCAGCTTCTTTAGCATTCCTCATGGTGGCATTCCTTGGAGAGCTGGGATAGAGGTGGGATCAGTCTTCCCCCATCTGTCCTTGTTTTCTTCTGTGCCTAATCTGCTCTTTCTATATCTCAAAAATGACTGGCTTAAAACACACCCTACACAGACATGGCCTCATTAACATAACAAAGAAAACCTTATTCCCAAATGAGATTATATTGACAAGCACAGGAGTCTGGATTTACAAAATCTATTTTAAGGGGATACAATTCATTCCATAACAACCTCTAAAAGATAGGAATGGCCAAGATGTGTCAATGGTTAGATTTTTAGCAGTCAGTCAACAAACATTTATTGAATGTTTATTGAGGTTTCCAATTATATTAAATACTGTGGGAGCTTCAAATCAGTATAAAATGCAATTCCTTTCCTTCTTCAGCTTTTTGAAAATGTAGATAGAATGAGAAGACTAAAACACCAGAAAATACCAATTGGTTCTAAATTATGGATTGTCTTTTTATGTGTAATCGTTGAGGAACACGGCGGGGTGAGAAAAGCAGTCCTGGTTTCCAGAGTTCTAGTTTTGAGTGATAATGATCATTTAGCCTCTGAGTTTTCAGTTTATTCACCTATGAAATAGACATGATAAATTTTGTTCTTTAGGCTATATAGGGCTGTTGTGAGAATAAAACAAGGTATGTGAAAGTATAAGAGCACCACGAAACCTTTAAGGTGCTAAACTTTAAGAGGTTCTTTATTTGTGCAGAAAGAAATGAAGGAATACTTAAGTGGCTGGGGAAAGTGTCACAGAGAAGTTGAGACTTGAGATTGATGTTGTAGGACAGGTATGAAATGGATCTAAGAGAGAGATGCAAGTGAAGGATGGAAAGAAGAAAAATAAACTTTACCTTACCCTGTAAGGTAAGTGGTTTATTCCCATTTCACAGATGTAGAAACAGAGGTTCAGAGAGATTAAATAAATTGCCAGAAGACACACAGTGAGCAAGTGATGAAGCCAGGAGATAACGATTTCAGGACTGTCTGACGCCAAAGACCTTACTCTTAAGCATTGTGCTGTAGTGCTGCATAAAAAATGCAAAGACAAAAATGATCTGATTTGTTTAGGGCTTTTGTCTTTGAAAAGACAAAAACAACTGGAATCCAAGGGACACACAAATCATAGAAAATAAGACTGGTTATGTTAGGGATGGCCAGTTTAGAGACTACTTGTCTTTGTAACTTATTTTCAAAATTCACGTGTATTTTTTTGTGGTAAAAATATAGATAACAAAACACTTGCCAATTCAACAATTTTTACATGTGTAATTCAGTGACAAGGAGCTCTGGTGTTGCAGTGGTTAAGGCATTCAGGTGCTAACCAAAAAGTCGGCAGTTCACACCCCCCAGACATGCTGTGGGAGAAAGATGAGGCAGTCTGCTTCTATAAAAATTTACAGCCTTAGAAACCCTATGGGGGCAGTTCTACTCTGTCTTAAAGGGTTACTGTGAGTTGGTATTGATTTGATGGCAGTGGGTGGTGGGTGGGAATTCAATGATATCAAATGTATTTTTAACATTTAGCTTCATAATTATTCTCAGAAGTTTAAAGACCAAATAGATTGAGGCACAGAATAGTATGTGAGTGGCCCAAGGTCATGCACCTACTAATACTAATAGTAAGGATGGTGCTGGAATCTAAACCTTAGTATTTTCAGGCTAGTGATACCTAGAATAGGGTGCTCTGATGGCCTGGACAGATGACGCCTGTATTTTCCCTCAACCAAGGCAAGAAAGTGTAAAGAGGAGAAGTGAACCCAATATTGTCAGGCTCTTTCCTTCTTCCCCTTCTTTCTTCTACTCACCTTCAAGGTCAGCAGCATTGGTCACCTTCCTTGACTTATAAGCTTCACTCTGGAAACCCCTAGGCTGTGGACTGCATTGCTGAAAGAGACTCCATGGCACTCATCTGACATATGTCATGTCTGTTTCAAGTGTCTTAGTTGCCTAGGGCTGCTGTAACATAAATACCACAAGAGATTGACTTAAAAAACTTTCTTTCTTTTTTTTTTGGTCACAGTTCAGAAGACTAGGAGTCCAAATTCAGGCTATAGTTGAATGCTCTCTCTCTGTCAGCTGTTGGGGAAGAAAAGCTTCAGAACAATTCATTCTGGTTCAAACCCCTGCTGAGAATTTGCATCCCTATCCCAGCTGTAGAGAATTAGAATCTACATTTTAAGATCTCCAAGTGACTGGGTAGAAATAGAAATTCTCAGCAGACGTTAGAATGGGATGAACCAGTTCAAAGCCCTGTGATATTCTACATGAATTTGAAGGCAAAGACTATAAAATTAAGTAATTAAAACTTCAATTTATAAAGATATCTGAGTGTATTTTTAATATTCCAGATCTGCTATTAGTAGCAAAAAATAAATATTCACTTAATTTATTTAATGTTCAGAACATTAATTTGTATTTAAAATACAGAAGAAGTTTAAATTGTATTATACTGTATAAAACCAAAACCAAACTAACTCACTGCCATCGTAAGAGGTTCAAATTCTAATTTTCCTAGAGCTCATTTTGCTTTTAATTTGTAACTTTTTAGAAAAGAGAACACAAAAATATTACTAATCTAATTAACCCTTTCTCTTATTGATTATTTGTAATACATTAGGGCTTTTTTTTTTTTTTTTCTTCTTTTTCAGCCTAAATTTGACAAGAAGAAATATTTCCTCTTTGGGATATTGTCTGGCCTCTCCTTATTCAATTTAAATGTCGCCATGCTTCCTTTCCCACTGGCTCTGTTTAAGAAACTTTTGGGCCAAAAGCCATCAATGGAAGATTTAAAAGAACTCAGTCCTCTTTATGGGAAGTCAGTAAATACAATTGCTTTTCCTACATTATATCTAGTAAATCATGATTGTTTAGGTACAAATAAATATTTACACACAAACACAGACAAGGTGTTCAATTTTAATACAGTTACACACTTTATATGAAGTTGAATTTTAGCACAATTTATAATAGTGTAAACTTTCAAAAATGGAGAAAAACCAAATGCTTCTCTAATTATCAACCAATACAATAAACAGGAAGTCTCTGGATTGTGCAAATAGTTAATATGTTTATCTGCTAACTGAAAGGTTGGTGGTTCAAATCCACCCAGAGTCACCTTGGACAAAAAGCCTGGAGATAAACTTTAAAAAAATCAGCCATTGAAAACCCTCTGGAGCACAGTTCTACTCTGACACATGTGGGGTAGGCATGGGTCAGAGGTGGCTTGGCAGCAATTGGTATTGTACAATAAACAGAGCTTTGACCTGGTCCCTTCAAATTATCCACATGGAAATAGTTGCTTTGGACAATATACAATATCCTTAGTGAGAATCATCCATGCTATATTTAGCTTAAATATTTCAGCATTTTCTTATTTTCTTAAGGGTTGAAAATACTTGTTATAAGTTAAAAGGCAAACTATACCCTGTGAGGAAAATTCTGACAACATACATGGTAGACAAAGGATTCCTGATACATAAATATATATGTATCATCACACATAGAAATATATATATTGCTATATAAATATATGTATGTGTGTATCTGACACAATGCAGGTAGACGAGCCCCTTGGATCAGAAAGCACTCAATATAGGAGTGGGAAAGAGCTGCCTCATCAGAGTAGAACCAACCTTAATGATATGGATAAAGTAAGTCTTTCAGGACCTCCATGGGCTGATGTGGCATGACTCAAATTGAGGAGAAACAGCTGCAAACATCCATTAATTATCAGAACATGGAATGTACGAAGTATGAATCTAGGAAAATTGGGAGTTGTCAAAAATGAAATTGAATGCATAAAGATTGATATCCTAGGCGTTAGTGAGCTGCAATGGACTGGTTTTGGTAATTTTGAATCAGACAACCATATGATCTACTGTGCTGGGAATGACAAGTTGAAGAGGAATGGCGTGGTATTCATCATCACAAAAGATGTTTCAAGATCTGTCCTGAAGTACAATGCTGTCAGTGAGAGGATAATATACATATGCCTACAAGGAAGACCCATTAATACTATTATTATTCAAATTTACACACCAACCACCAAAGCCAAAGATGAGGAAATTGAAGATTTTTATCAACTTCCGCAGTCTAAAATTGACCAAACATGCAATCAAGATGTGTTGCTTATCACTGGTGATTGGAATGCTAAAGTTGGAAACAAAGTAGAATCACCAGTAGTTGGAAAATTTGGCCTTGGTGACAGAAATAATGCTGGAGATCACATGATAGAATTCTGCAAGAATAATGACTTATTCATTGCAAATACCTTTTTTCAACAACCCAAAAGGAAGCAACACACATGGACTTCACCAGATGGAACACACAGGGATCAGATTGACAACATCTGTGGTAAGAGGCGATGGAAAAGCTCAATATCTTCAGCCAAAACAAGGCCAGGAGGTGATTGTGGAACAGATCAACTGCTCAAATGCAAGTTCAACTTGTAGTTGATGACACTTAAAACAAGTTCACAACAGCCAAAATATGATCTTGAATATATCCCTCCTGAATTTAGAGACCATCTAAAGAATAGATTTGATGCACTGAATACCAGTGACCAAAAAAGAAAAGAATTGTGGGATGTCATCAAGAGCATCATCCATGAAGAAAGCAAGAAGTCATTAAAAATATGAGAAATAAAGAAAAGACCAAAATGGATGTCAGAAGAGGTTCTGAAACTTGCCCTTGAGCAAAGAGTAGCTAAAGCAAATGGAAGAAATGTTAAGATAAAAGAGCTGAACAGAAGATTTCAAAGAGCAGGTCAAACAGACAAAGCTAATTACTATAATGAAATGTGCAAAGACCTGGTGTTAGGCAACCAAAAGGGAAGAACATGCTCAGCATTTCTCAAGCTGAAAGAACTGAGGAAAAAGTTTAAGCCTCGAGTTGCAATATTGAAAGATTCTATGGGGAAAATATTAAATGATGCAGGAAGCATCAAAAGAAGATGGAGGAATACCAAAAAGAACTGGTCAATCTTCATCCATTTCAAGAGGTGGCATATGATCAAGAACCAATGGTATTGAAGGAGGAAGTCAAAGCTGCACTGAAAGAATTGGCGAAGAGCAAGGCTCCAGGAATTGACGGAATACCCATTGAGATGTTCCAACAAACGGATGCCCCCCTGGAGGCACTCACTCGGTTATGCCAAGAGATTTGGAAGACAGCTACCTGGCCAACTGACTGGAAGAGATTCATTCATATTTGTATCCATTCCAAAGAAAGGTGATGCCACAGACTGTGGAAATTATCAAACAATATCAATATCGCATGCAAGTAAAATCTTACTGAAGATAATTCAAAAATGGTTGCAGCAGTATAATGACAGAGAACTTCCAGAAATGCAAGCTGGATTCAGAAGAGGACGTGGAATGAGGGATATCATTGCTGATGTCAGCTGGATCTTGGCTCAAGGCAAAGAATACCAGAAAGATGTTTACTTGTGTTTTATTGACTATGCCAAAGCATTTGAGTGTGTGGATCATAACGAATTGTGGATAACATTGAGAAGAATGGGAATTCCAGAACACTTAATTGTACTCATGAGGAACCTGTACATAGACCAGGAGGCTGTCATTCAAACAGAAAAAGGGAACACTACATGGTTCAAAATCAAGAAGGGTGTGCATCAGGGATCTATCCTTTCACCATACTTATTCAATCTGTGTGCTGAGCAAATAATCCAAGAAGCTGGACTATATGAAGAAGAACATGGCATTAGGATTGAAGGAAGAATCATTAACAACCTGCGATATGCTGACGACACAACTTTGCATGCTGAAAGTGAGGATGACTTGAAGTACTTACTGATGAAGATTGAAGAATACAGTCTGCAGTATGGATTACATCTCAATATAAAGAAAACAAAAATCCTCATAACTGGTCCTGTACGCAACATTATGATAAATGGAGAAAAGATTGAAATTGTCAAAGACTTCACATTACTTGGTTCTACAATCGATGCCAATGGAAGCAGCAGTCAGGATGCCAGGCGACATATAGCACTGGGCAAATTGGCTACAAAGGACCTCTTTCAAGTGCTGAAGAGCAAAGATGTCTTCTTGAGGACTAAGGTGAGCCTGATGCAAGCCATGGTATTTTCAATCACCTCATATGCATGTGAGCACTGGATAATGAATAAGGAAGACCCAAGAAGAATTGATGCTTTTGACCTGTGGTATTGGTAAAGAATGCTAAAAGTACCATGGACTGCTAAAAGAACAGGTCTGTCCTGGAGGAAGTGCAGCCAGAATGCTCCTTTGAGGCAAGAGTGGCCAGATTTCGTCTCACCTACTTTGGTCATGTTGTCAGAAGGGACCATTCCCTGGAGAAGAATGTCATGCTTGGTAAGGTGGAGGGTTGACAAAAGAGGGGAAGGCCCTCAATGAGATGGATTGACATGGTGGCAGCGGCAATGGGCCCTAGTATAGCAAGAATCATGGAGCTGGAGCAGGATCGGGTGGTGTTTCATTCTGTTGTGCATAGGGTCACTATGAGTCGGAGATGAATTGACAGCATGTAACAACAACAACAACATGTGTGTTTCTATATTGTTTCTGTTAGTTGCCATTGAGTTGAGATTTATAAATTGCCAGTGGACATACAATGAGCAAGTGATGAACTCAGGATAAGAATTTAAGACTGTCTGGTCCCAAGACCTTTACTCTTAAGTATTATGCTATACTGCTGGATAGAAAACAAAGAGAAGAAAGTAAATCTGATTTGTTTAGGACTCAGTGAAAAGACAAAACCTAAATGGTGCAAATGGTTAAACACTTGACTACTAGCCAACAAGTTGGTAGTTGGAACCCACCCAGAGGTGCCTCAAAAGACAGGCCTGGTAATCTGTTTCCAAAACGTTGAAACGTTGAAAATCCTCAGGAGCAGTTCTCTGCGTACATGGAGTCTCTATGACTGGAGGGCAGCCAACAACAACATGAATACATAAATATGGCTAATCAAAAAAATGAAAATACGTTCAACCTTACTAGAATGGAAGAAATGCAAACGAAGTGCCATTTTCTTCTTACAATTGTTTCAAAGTTTTTTCATAAAATATGTAGTTGGCAACAGACTGAGGAAAAAGACCCTCTGTTCTCTTGTACCTTTAATAGAGAAACAACCGCCTAGATTTACATTGTCTGCCCTCACAGTGTAGAGAAGGGTTTATCAACTTCAGCACTATTGACATTTTGGACTGGGTAATTCTTTGTAGTAGGGGGCTGGCTGTGCATTATAGGATGATTAGCAACACTTCCACCAAATGCCATGAACAACCCTCCCTTCAGTCATGACAACCCAGATGTCTCCAGCTTTTCAAAATATCTCCTGAGGGGCAAAATTACCACCATTTCAGAATCAGTGGTTCAGAGGAAAGGATACATTTTTGTAATTCCCTCATACACAACAATGTCTAGGTACTAGCAGTGGTCCAACAACTCAAACTGTAAACAGATGTTAGCTCTAGGAAGAGGGACTGGGAACACAGAAGAGAGCAAAGTTACATTGCATTTTATACATTTCTGTATATATTTTTAGGTTTTTTGTTTTCAGTGAACTGTTATTACTTTTGAAATTTTATGAGATCAATAAATATAATTCTAAAACCAAAATTTTCATTAGGAATTTGCAAGAAATTCTCAATGATGAAGAAGATGACATGAGAGAACTTTACATACATTATTCTGTGAGTACTAAAGAAAGGTGTATTACAGTTTAGGTTTAATCTGGTTGTTTGTTGATAAAAGAGTATGTAGCACAATATTTGTCAATTTAATATTTTCATGTACAAATTAGTGACATCACTTACATTAATCATGGTTTTTAAAGTCATTTTTATTTTTATTTATTCAATAGTATCTTAAATAGAGAGTCCCTGAGTAGCATAAATGGTTAAACACTCAACTGCTAGCCAAAAAGTTGGTGGTTCAAACCTGCCCAGAAGCACCTCAGAAAAAAATGCCCTCCAAAAAGTCACAGCCTTGAAAACCCTAGGGAGCAAGCAGTTTTACTCTGAACATGTGGGATCGCCAAGAGTTGGAAATGATTTGACCTCAACTAAGAACAACAACAATTTTATTATTTTTTTTTTAAATACTATTTCATTGTGTTTAAGGTAGATGTTTACACAGCAAAATAAGTTCCTATTTAACCATTTATAAACAAATTATTCAGTGATATTGATTACATTTTTCTCAATGTGTCATCATTCTCATTCATTCCATCTACTTATAAGAGATCCTTTTTTGAAGGACATTTTTCTTCTGTACTGTAGGACTTTCCTCCCATCCCCTCCTTATGTCTCTATACTGTCAAACAAAGTGAAGATACAATTGTTCAATTAATGGGAAGAATGTAAGGAAATAAATGGGCTAATTTATACTTAAAAGCATATACAATATGTTCTAGGATAGGATAACCTGATTTTTTAAAAATATTTTATGCTTATTTAAAAGACGTAACTGCACAAATAATTATTTAGTTTCGGTTATTTTAAATTCTCTAAGGAAAATGTACTGGCAATAATGGTATTGCAGGTAGTTGATTTTTCAGACTTTCTTTCATATTTGTGTCTGAATATGTTTTGGTTACAGATATATTGGGACAAAAATCATGTTGATTTAATTCCAAATGGGAAATCTACACCTGTGGACCAAAGCAACAAGTAAGTTATGAGACCTAGAAAATCTGCTTTGAACACATGTAAAACATTTATATCATTAGACTTTAAAGGTATATTTTCACTTCTCAGATTATCAGTTCAACTACTCATCATTCAGAATGATACACAGAGTTAAAGAAGGGGAGAAAGGAGACAGGATTAAGTATTTCCTTTGCAGCACTGTTCACTATTTAATTCATTTAACAAATACTTTTCAGCCCCTAGTCTGTGCCAGGAGGAGTCTTGGCTGCTAAGCGAAAAGCTGGCAATTGAAACCCACCCAGTGATTCCACAGGAGAAAGACCTAGCAAAGGTTACCGCCTAGAAAACCCTGTGGGGCAGTTCTGCTCAGTCACATAGGGTTGTTATGAGTGAGACGACTCCACAGCACACAACTCTGTGCCAGACCATACTTTAGGTGCTAGAGATACAGCAATGAACAAGACAGACAAAATCTGGAACTTAAATCTAGTGGGGCAGAAAATACAAATTATGATGTAATATAGTATCACATAAGGGCGAGCGAGCTCTCTGAGAAAACTTAAAGTTAATAAACAGACTAAAGAGCTACAAACTGATATATTGGAAACAACTGGTATCACATTGTGAAAGCTGATTGACAATTTTTCAAGAATTCTGAAAGGTGGTTGTTAAAGCATTAGTAGCTTAAAATCTGCTGTGGTAGGAATATTCACACCAAAGAAATTGGTAAGTGCTGCAAATGAGGGTTGGCTTGCTCCTCTGTGTGCTCATGCATGCTCTTTCCCCTTCTGTTTCTTGCTTTTCTTTTCAGAGAGCAAACTGCTTACCTTTTACCAACACACCACTGCTTTCAACAGAGTACAGAGGGAGGCTGATTAGATAGACTAGTCCAGGAAGAGGGCGCTCTGGTAGCGTAGTGCCTAAGGCACTTGACTGCTAACCAGAAGGCTGGTGGTTCAAACCCACCAGCCACTCCTCGGAAAGAAGGTTGGCCAATCTACTTCCGTAGTGATACTGCCTTGGAAACCCAAGGAGGGGTCACTAAGAGTCAGGTCTGACTCAACAGCAAACAACAACAGTCCAAGAAGAAGGAGCTCTGGTACTGCAACGTTAAGAGCTAGGCTGCTAAGGAAGATCAGAGGTTTGAACCCACCAGCTGATCTGAGGGAGATAAAACTTAGCAGTCTGCTTCCAGAAGAACTGTTGTTAGGTACCATCAAGTTGGTTCTGACTCACAGTGACCCTGTGTACAACAGAATGAAACACTGCTTGGTCCTATGCCATCCTCACAAGTGTTGCCATGTGTGAGCCCATCATTGAAGCCACTGTGTCAATCCATCTTGTTGAGGGTCTTCCCCTTTGTCGCTAAGCCTCTACCAAGCATGATATCCCTCTACAGGGACTGGTCCCTTCTGATGACATGACAAAAGTAAGAGAGATGAAGTCTGGCCAGTCTCACTTCTAAGTAGCATTCCAGCTGTACTTCCTCTAAAACATATTCATTCATTCTTCTAGCAGTCCATGGTACATTCAATATTCTTCACACATTCCACAATTCAAATACATCAGTGCTTCTCCAGTTTTCCTTATTATTTATCCAGGTATATGAAGCTATTAAAAATACTATGGCTTAGGTAAGGCACATTTTAGTCTTCAACATGACATCTTTGCTCCTTATCTTTTCTTTTCTTTTTTTTTGTAAATTGTGATTGGGATGAAAACTTACAGAGCAAATTCACTTTCCATACAGCAGTTTATATATAATTTGTCTCATGACATTGACCACAATTTACCACAACACAATAGCTCCCCTCCCATTTCCTCCCCATAGTTACTTCTTCCCTGTGTCCATCCCTCTATACACTACTGCCCCCTGAGCTATCTCCCTGTGCATAAGCAGCCCTTCTTTCTCCCATGATTGTTCTCTCCAAGGAGTGTATCTACCTCAGATAAATGTTCCACTCATATGCCTGTCTTCTGCTTGGCTGTTAGCCACAGGTGTGGATTCAATTCCAGACCTGAAGGGCAGCTAGGGGCCATAGTCTCAGTGGTTCCACCAGGCTCTATCAGACCAGCAAACCTGCCCCCCCCC